TTCTTGGGGTGTAGAGGAGAAAGGTCCCTGCTTGGAAGYGCATTATTTTCTCTTCCCCACTGTGTCTTTTGGAGTCGAGTACGTTGTTTATATGGTTTAATAGAAGCTCGTGTAGAGCTGACAAAGTGTGAACAAAAAACTTTTGGATATTCAACGCGCGACACCGTTACGACTTTGTCAGCTGTTCATCGATTTGTTATGCTCATTTATTGTATTTAGATTGCAATTATTAATTGAAATCGTAAATAAACATACCATATTTTGSTTTTTAATTGATTTTGTCTCATACTGATACATATTTTTTTGTGTATGCCAAAGTAAAGAGCATCTCAAAATGGCCCCCATTTCCGGAATCACCGAGGAAAATGTTTGCAAAATGAGTTGTTTGACATTCAGTCATTTAATAAAAAKAATTGAAGAAGTTGATGATGATGTGATCATTCCTCGCTGTAGAATGAAAGACAATGCGATGAGACTCGCGTTTCATTCTTTCTTAGAATAAACAACTCAAAATGTTAATGAATGCCACCTCGGGGCAGTGGTGATTTTGTTGTATAGAAAATTTTTTTGGATTCAAATGGTCTGATGGCATCTTTGTATAATTCACCCGTTCATTGTCACTTGAAGTGACTGAAATCTTTGTTGCAACTTGATTGATTACAAATAAATTKGTTTTACACAAGACTTTGAACGCTTCCCGCGGAGTTGCTATGTTAAGTGAGACCTTGAGCTGCATGACTCAGACAGGTGGCAATATGTTTCTGCAATGTTCTGTGCTTGTTCTAAGTCTCCGTGTTTAGTAGACAACTATCAAAATCTACCATGGTAAAAGACCTGTTCTGCTAAATGAAAAGTTAAAAAGTATCGCTACACTCCATGATAAATAAAACAAAGTCGAACTTTACACAGTGTTGTTATAAAAAGCCGTACAGGGACCTCCCGGCTCTACGCGCCACGAGTACAATCATACAAAGGCATTCTTATACCTTTTCACAAAATATCCTCTTGAAGGGCTCTCGATGCATTCCTAAGCAACAACTGAGAAAAAGGCTTCTTCAAGGGCCCTTTAACGACTTTGCTGTCTGACTTGAAGTATTCTACTCGTGTTTGCTCCGAAATTCAAAGTAGCCTGAAAAAAACCTTTTCCCAAAAAAAGAAAAACCTTTTCACAAAATATCCTCTTGAAGGGCTCTCGATGCATTCCTAAGCAACAAAAAGGCTTCTTCAAGGGCCCTTTAACGACTTTGCTGTCTGGCTTGAAGTGTTCTACTCGTGTTTGCTCCGAAATTCAAAGTAGCCTGAAAGTGTTATGGCTACATACTTGACAGGTTTACTGAAACACACTAAAACACACTAAAAAGCTTTCTTTCACGGTTCATCGAGGTTTTTTAAATCTTATTTACCCGTTGAAAAGGAGKTTTTTTTATGTAGTGGCATATGAAGTTCATAATTATTCGAAATCTTGTAGTGTTTTTGTGCGGCCTATCTGAAAACAACGCGGGTCATAGCTTGCAAATGCAGTGATAGAAGAAAATGCCAATATGAACTCTCTTGCACTATTTCATGCACGCTCATGGCCTATGGCATGCTTTTAATGTAGTMTTTAGAATAGTGCGATAGTTTTTAAAAAAATTGGACTCATGCGACTAAGTGAAAACATCATAATTTCAAAGCCGCACAATTGTCATACAAGATTAACTCATTTAACAACTAATTTCACCTGGATACATTGGTTTATAAAACTGATGGTAACAATTGCATGGAATCACTCAACTGTTTTACTAAGTTAGGATTAATTTTTACTCCATTGCACTAGATTTCTTCGGTAAAAAATACTAATTTTAAATTCTACAAACAAATCAAATGAAAAAATATATAAAAGTAATAATAAGTAAGACATAAATCAATCAATAATAAAMATAAACTAGTTGTTGAACTCGATGACCAATTTTAAATGATAGCGAATAAGTGAACCACTTGTAAGGCGGTGAATTAAAGGTAACAAAATATTATATCTCTTCGAATACGACGAGTACCATGGAGCACCATGCTTCATTCCACGAGAGGTCATAGAGATGTGGAGCTTGATTACATAAAAGGGTTATAGACTTCACCAACCTAGATTAATGGTAATCCCACTTGAATCGAAAGTCAGTTTCGGGAGTCACTTTTGATGCACTGAAGGCATTCACACTCCTCCYGAACATGCAAAGTAATTAAAGAAAAGCAAATATGACATAGATTTTCATTAGTGAAGTCACGACAGACGTTTAAATTAGTTAATAAAGCATTTAAACGAGGATTATAAGCTTATATGATAATCGCACTATTCAACAATAGTTTCACTTTAAAGTTTATTTAGAACATTTGCTGAGTRATAAGAGCGTTTTTCTTCGTTTATTTTGATGCTAATAAAAGCGTAAACCCTTCCCTTTTCAAGCATGGCAAAGAGTTGCCACAGAAACACCCACAAAGAGCGCATGCGTAGCAATTGGTGTCACGTTCACCAGTTACTGGACGTGAGCGCTCGCGGCCTACAAACCTTTTTATGTCCCATTTGACCGATAAAAAAGAAAAGCAATTTCATTTTCTTGAAATCTGCTTCAGTTTTCGGTTTGATGCATGGAGTAACTCGGGGGCATTTTAATATCAAAGCACTTCTCATGTACAGCCATTGGATGGAGGAACCRAAAAGTTGCTTGTCGACGGAACAGACGTCATGTTAATCTTTAGTAAAAGAACTAACATGATTTTTACTTCTTGTAGAGACAACGATTAGGTTAAATAAAGAATGGATGAATTCAGTTTAATAGAAATTATSATTGTAAAAAAGTTGTTGGAGAAACCCGGCACTGACGGCACTGATACCAAAGGCTTGTGAAATCGTTGAAAAAGGAACTTTGATGGTTACTTTTATCATAAAAAAATAGAAAAGAAGGAACATTGTTTAAATGTATATATATTTATATGGTATCCAATCTTAGTAAAACTATAGTTTCATTCTAACAATTATTTAAATTTTTGAAGATCATATTTCATTCACTCTTAAATCAAAATTTACACAAGACTTTCTCAGCACTGAAAAATTGTGGAAATACCCCGTAAGAAATACAATTTATATAAACTTTGTATTTGAAAATAAATTAGACAGTAAATAAATAATGTGGCACTAGCAGTGTCAGTGTAAAAGTCGGCTACCTGACTCAAATTCCCTCACAAAACGCCAAAGAAACAGAATGCCATTTAATTAACGCCTTTATTATTGCTATTCCGGGGCACGTGGTGGTTTCACCAGCTCTAGTGTTCTTGCTTGGATTTATACATATATCACATGCACTAATGATATTTTGAATAAAACCAGGAAAACTTAATTATACAATGATACTTCAATTTAGATTCTGACACACCAAAACTAAAATACACTCGGCTCTTGAAAAATAGCTCGACTATAAATGAAAAACCTGGATGCTAGATATGGGTGTCCTGCTGATTTTGCTATTTTTGTGCTAAAAAAAGTATGTCGAAATCCCTCTATTTCTGGTAAATTTAGTTTGGAATGGATGATGACAGTTGAGAGGGGGTATAACGGAATCATTAAAGTGTGGAAAGCTTAACTACTGTGTTCCTGTGGAAAGGATAAACAAGTTCTTAGAGTTGAGAGCATATTCTMTAAGAGCTGAGGTGCTTTCGGTTCATTTAGTCTAAATAAACATTTTTACCTGCTCTGTCACCCACTCTCGTACGCACGTGGTACTCGTGGCTAATTATAGACGGAAAAAGGAACAAAATCTAAAGCAGTTCCCTGGCAATTCTCCACGGAATCTTTACGACAAATCAAGGCAAACGTACTTATTCTGTTTTAGTTCAATTTCATTGATTAGAACTGTTTGTAGAGAAATTGCGTCATCGTATCATCACTTGTAAAAGAAACAGGTTTTGTGTAACAAAAACGATTTGTRWTTATTCTATTCAAGTTATTGCGGGCAGAAACAAATGTAAAGTTACTGAATGTGTAAACGGCAACTCTCCTTTCAAAGTATCAACACTGTATCTTCAAATGGATTAGTTTCAAGCCTGGATTTATGGAAATTACTTATGAAAACTTTCAATTAACAGAAATAATTATGTTGCATTCCGCTTAACAAAAAGTTGTGTGGACAGCAATTAGAACCATTATCAATTTCTTCTGTCACAGCAACAGCATGGCCGTTGGTGGCTATTGTATATTTTTGCTTCTGATTTGACTAACCTTGATACAACTATSATGCCAAAACTAAAACTAAACTTTGATATCAAACGTGTGTTACCAAACAAAACACAATTCTACACATCCTGCTTTGAAGTGTGCARTTTGTTTGGTTTAACTAAGAACGTTTATATATACTAAGWGAGTTGAAAGCGTGCACGGCCCATTGTAACTCTTGAGAACTTTAATATTTCACCATATTTTCCATTTAAATCACTAGAATGTTTTGATATTTCGAACAATAAATCCCGCTGATTGTTGAATAGTTTAGGGTGAATTTTGTATAGTCAGTGTTGTCGAATCACTAACAGCTGGTCTCGGCAAACCGATGCATCACCATGTCATTTACGCTTGACAGTGAACAGTAAAACACCAGAAAACCACCAAACTGAGCGTTACTTAGATAGAACTAACTATTGTTAATTGTCATTCAAAACTAATTATTTTTATTTAAAGTTTAATTACATTATTATAGTTTTTTCAACATAAGCGTCACAAATTGCAGAGTACGACGATTGGAAAATGGGTTTTTTATTCAAGAATCGTTCTATGATTAAATATAGTTTTTCTTTCTGGGTTAACTATTTTTGACTGTTCTAATATCGATGAGAGCAGGTCCCGAGGTACGTACACGTGTGTGAGTATGTCAGCTACCTGTTGGACGGGCTTTAAGGAGCAATTTAGCCAATGGAATGATAGCTTCATAAAAGGAGATCTACACTTATATTAGACACTATAAAGAGTAAGAGCATTGCTCAAAAGTCCTTGTTAGCGATCTCTACTTCTGAGGACGCTCTGTCTCGACAAGTATTTGCTTTCCTCTCTACTTGAGTATTCAGTTTCAATTACTTACTCAAAGTTCACTGGAAGTGCAGCCCCATGAGTTGTGGAAAAGGTAGTCACCCCTTTTCTGTGGAAAGTCTTCTGGGACTTGGTAAAAACTTTCAAGATTCTCTTCAGAAGCAACAAGAAGTGAAGACGGAGCCGCAGCCTTCGCATTCTGTACACGACATTCACGAAAGAACTTTACCATGTTACGAAGATAAAAGAGGTAGGTCATGTCACACCTTTAAATCAGAATATCCGATTCATAATCCATGGACAAGGACACTCAAAATGGCTTAAAAGATATGAGAATTGCTAAGAAAACATAACGTACCTAAGTACCTTCATTGTTGATCATTGATTATAATTACAACTTTCTCTTTGTCGTAGTATTTATGTTAATCGTTTTATTTAGTCTAGGAATGCGTTAGGCAGAGTGAGCCAGAATGGCTGCTATATAAGATTGCTCACTTGGTTATTTATTTGTTTAAAACAGAACAATTAAATGATTTCACGGAGATCGACGAGCCAAGCAGAAAAAGACGACAAAGGGTGCTTTTCAACGAAAGTCAGATTCACATCTTAAAAAGTGTTTTCGCCAGACAAAAGTACCTCTCTCCCGAGGGAAGAAAAAGTCTAGCCGACTCCCTCAACCTTTCGCCAAAACAAGTCAAGACTTGGTTTCAAAACTACAGATACAAATGCAGAAGAAAGATTTACAGTCAAGTTCGGTGTTACGAAGAAAAACCAGGACAAAGATTAACAACCTCGAACGTTTTCGATGCCTCGCTTCGTGGCAGTCAAACGAACATTCATTTTCCAAGTGAAACAAATAGATGGGACAATAAGTCAATAGGAATTTCACCTCAATTTTGTGACATCCCATATTACTTTCCATACACGAATAACCTTCGTCTGATACAGAAATAAATAATTATATAATATGACAGTTTTACATAGCAGTAGATATATAAAGAATTAAACTACCTTATTACGAAAAAGAATGTTTTGATTCTTGTGTGTTTTCGTCTTCACGTCGAGAGGAAAAAGAGAAACAATCCACTAATCCATGTAACCGAGTGCGGAAAAGCTCTCCAAAACATGCATTGTTGCTAAACAATGTAGAGTGATAGAAACCCCGATAGAAAACGAAAAAGATTGCGGCAAAATGCAGGAAAATCTTTAAAAACGGAACGTTGAGTAGTGAAAGACTGATTTAGTTGCGTACGAGAGAAAGAAATAACGACTTCTGAAGAAGTWGTTCTGATGAAATTTCTAAATTGAAGTTGCACAAAGTGCAAATGATATCAGTTCAACACATCTCTTTAGTTCATTATCTACAATTTATGCTTTAAAAAACTAGTTAAACAGTGTTCTTTATCTGAAAATGATGTTTTAAGTTTAAAAACTAAATCAACAAGATGTCATATGATTAACACCAAATTCTAAATGTACTGCCCTATGTTTTTACTGAGGGCAAGTGTGGTCGCTTTCACGTCTCAAAATTACAAAAAAATCAGTCACGTGGGCCGATGAAAAAAAGGTCAACGTATTTAATGTTTGCGAGTAATATTTGTAACAATTTTTAAATCCACTCCAGGGCGTCTGAAAAGCACATAGGCTTTTTCTATACTTTAATAATGGCAACCTGCAAGATGTATTTTTAGAAAAATATAGTCATCAACAACCCATCAAAGTATCATTTTTCYATTTTACCTCGTGGATCTAGTCTATATACCCCTACAATATCACTWTCTAACTTACGTACTCTTACGTGTTTTAAGGAGGCGGTTGGCCAAGTTGACAACACATAAAACTCCTGCTTTTTCGAGGAAAATCCATTGAAAATAGCCATCAGAAAAATCCAAATTTGAACCATTTGGAAGGGGGAGTAATGGACGGTGCGATTTGGAAGATTAGTATTCAGGGTAAATCACGTCTCGATATAATAAGCTTCCTTGAAAATGCACTCTGAAGAAAAACAGATTCTAAGCTTCGTTTTTCCTCTTTCTCTCCGATAAACTTGTACAATTCAGTTACGATATGTAATTGATACACCAAATTATGAAAACGTCGCTGTCATAGAAGAAAAGGCATTAGCAGTAAAGAGTGATAATTAAAAAAGACAAACGCGTTCGGCCTGGGTAATCTCCCTAATTCGTCCGTTTTAATAAAGTCTTTTTTACTAGAGTACAAATATTTATTTCTCAAAGTCAATATATTCATTGCCAATTAGACGTATTTATGCGTGATGTATGCTGACAAAGCACATGGCGGTTGCTTGCTCCTTTTTCTTTTCTTATAATGTAGATTCAAAGCTATTCAATTAAGTTAAACGTCTAAATATCATGTTTCTGTTTTATATTCAGGACTGAACACATGTGCTAWGCTCGTTATTTTTTGCCATTCATGCTTGCTTTTCCTGAGTGTTTTTCTGTTGTCTGAGGCGCATGAGGTATTCTCTTCTCTCATAAAAAAGTACAATTTATTTGTGAATATCGTGTCAAAAGAAATAACGTGAGTTTAAGATATTGTTGTGACTACTAAGGACAAAGTTTTCTAATAAAACAAACACTTCTCGAACTGAAACAACATAAAATTCGACTGTAGATTAAGAGGACATCTCATTCGAGCGAGGAATGTCTCTCTATTCCCGAGCAATTCACATTAGAGGGTTTTTTTTAATTCAAGAGGAGATTTTTTAGCTTGGCAACCTACACCACCAAAAACAAGATATATTCCGCCCTATCTTTCTTTCTTTGTGACTACCTGCAGAGAAACTCTATATAAAGATATGGTCGTATTTGACAGTATTTGTGTAAATATGCCATTTAGCTACAATGTTGCATAATGCTCTCAGACATCCTGGCTACAGATACCCTGAGAATAAYAAAACCTTCATTATTTTACGCAAATCGACCGAATACATCACAACGTGAAAKCTTGTAAGAATTAAGTAATCATATAATTTTAGGATTTCGTGAGCATTTGTTCTTAAATTATATAATTGATATTAAAATTGATGCACGTTAGCGCGGTTTAAAACTTGCAAGTTGAAATATTAAAAAAGCCCGGCCGTGCAATTCCTTCAAGATTAACAAGCCGAATAAACTCGGTAGCAAAAAMGAAAAATCAGTGAAAACATTTCGGTAAAAAAAACATCCCTGTACATGTCAGCATTCTGTGTCATTTTTTTAAAGTTATTCTTGCATGCATTCCCTTGAAACTATCTTTGCCTTTTATCAAAAATAGGCCGATCTTTTCAAATCTAATTTGGAACGATTACATGGACTAAATATAGGACTGGCGAGRTCTTGAATTTGATGACGCAAAAGCCTACTGAATTTAGAAACAAGTTGCACAACCGACCAAGTGGTTGCTAAGTGCAAACGCCCATGCATAAAAAGTAGTGGCTTTAAATGGAAAACGAAAAATGCATCGAGTTACCGGTACAAAGCTATCATGGAATGGTATATTGTATAGAGAAGCTTGCTGCAAAGAACGACCTGTGATATACACCCCGGGGGCACTGTATTTAGGAAAATGGGTAATTAAAAAAAAAACGTGAGTGTTGTGCTCAACAGTTCAAGCGACTCATGACTTCACGCACGTTACTCAATGTTTTAAGATATTAGAACTGACGATGAAAATACAATATAGTACAATTTAAAGGAAACGTGGTCAATAAACGAGGGCGGACAGTCAAAGCATCAGACAGGTCGACCCCCCGTAACGGTATTGATAAACTCGTTTTGAAAGAAGTTTGTTTGTCTTTGAAATTACTGCGGTGAGAGGACTTTTTCTTGTCGGTTGTAGAGACTTCATTATAGTGCATAGGTAAACTGTGTTGCATCTCACGGAACGATTAAGRATGGAAGAGACACAGCTTGGAGTTTCCCAAAACTTTTTAAATGCTTAGCTAGCTACCATCATGTTTGCAGTCGTTGTGCGSTGTACGTTGTGWGCTACTGTWGTGCATGCCCTAGTTTTACAAGTTAAAAATGGTGTAGATTTTCAATTCATCGTTATCAATCACGACTGTTAATGAAT